ATCATGTTAATCCACCAGAAGTATTTAGACAACCGATGGTAGGACCTTTGAACACCTTGGTGGGCTCCAACTCGGGAGAAATGAAAGTAGAATAGAACCCGTCGTCGGAGTACCTCAGGAACATACACGCGATTTCGCACGATTGGTAGACCATTTTGAAGTGTATACGAGAAAGGTGGTTCAGGTTCTTGTTCAAATGCGTTAGCGACATCTTCAGGCGTGGGGAACGTCTCATTGAGGGTCAACATTGACGGTTGAACATCCGTCTGTGATGTCAGGACCCACCTAGCGTCAATATCTTCGTCTAACTTACCAAACTCGACGTCACGCGTGAAGATATCCACGTGTTGTTGACTTTTTCCAGCTCTGTAGATGATCTTAAACTGAAATTCTTGAAGAAACATAGCCCACCTGGCAACCCGTGATTTCTCTGTACTCCAGAGCCACTTTAAGCTCTGATGATCGGTTCGTACGACAAACTCCTTGCCGCGTAGATAATGAGCGAAATGAAATATAGACCAGACGACAGCGTACGCCTCCAGCTCATAGACAGGCCACTTTGACTCCGCTGTGGTCAACTTCTTTGACGCAAACTGCAATACATGTACCTTGTCGCCTTCAGCCTGCTGAAGTACGCCTGCAATCGCGTATGTTGAAGCATCAGTGTCCAAGCAGAAAGGAAGGTGAGGTTGCGGTAGGTATAATGAAAGCTGTGCCTCTGACAACACCTTTTTCACAGAGTCGAAACTGTTTTGACAAGTCTCAGACCAAACGAAATCTTCCGCTGTGACGAGTTCCTGCAAGGGCCTCACCAACGAAGCATAATCTCTGATGAACTTCCTTAGGTAACCAACCAGTCCTAGGAACCTACGAACTCCATTGACATCCTCGGGAGGCGAGAGCCTCTGAATGGTCTCTATTGATTTCTTGGACGGGTAAACCTTGCCTCGCCGAATGGTGACTCCAAGATAGTCGAACTCCGACAACCCGAAATGGCTTTTTCTGATGTTCAAGTATATGCAGCCATCCGACAGTCTCTTGAGCACCCATTCAAAGTTGTTCATCAACACGGGCCACGAGTTTCCGTATATTATGATATCATCAATATAAACCAAGCATCCGTTCCCCAGACGTCCTTCGAGTAACTTCGTCGTCATTCTCTGAAAGGTTGCTGGCGCATTGACCAATCCGAACGGCATGACATTGAATTGGTAGAGGCCAGTGGGCGTCGCAAAGGCTGTCTTCACCTTATCTTCTTCTCTCAGACGAATCTGATGAAATCCAGCTTTTAGATCTAAAGTAATTACATGCTCAACACCTCCGAGTTGATCATGTAGATCCTCAATCACAGGTAAGGGGAAAGTGTCAGGTACAGTGACTTCATTTAGAGCCCGATAGTCAACACACATTCGCCACTCCCCCGTTTTTTTAGACACCATCACGATCTGCGATCGCCACGGACTGGTAGACTCCGAAACCGCACCGGCAGCGAGGAGATCCTGAACTTGACGGTCGATCTCGTTTCTCTGTTCCGGAGAGTATCTCCGCATCCCCTGCTTGACCGGCGGGTGATCACCGGTATCTATTGCGTGCTCGAGAAGACGGCATCTCCCCAACTTGGTCGTTCGCCAAGTTTCGTCATAATGTAAAAGGAGTCTGACGACATCTTCCTTCTGAGTCGCAGACAGTTCCTTATTGATACGCTCTTCGATCTGTTCGACGGTGAACGTTTCCTCAGCTTCTTGCAACGCGTTCAGGCGCGAGTCGTAGCTGGCGAAATTCGGATCCTGAACCAGAGGGAGTTCGCCGAAACACGTAACCAACTTGTCATCCCTAAGATTTACGGAGGCGCTAAGTTGTTGTAGAGCTGGGAGCCCCAGCAGTGGATAGGTCATGGCGGTAGCCGGCACGACATAGAAGTTCAGTTCCACCGACTTACCACCGAAAGAAGTGAGTATGCAAACCTGAGACGTACATCTTGAGGTTCCTCCGATGCCCTTGACTTGTAGCGGCGTATCCAGTTCGGTGACGGTGGACTGACTTTGAACGTCCATCGTCTTGAGTAGGGCATCCGGGAATATATTGATCTCCGCCCCCGTGTCTACCATGAACGACACGGACCTTCCAGATACCGGTAACCGTACATACCTACAATTCTGTCGGTTCACTCCTTGAGCTAGCGATAGTGAACATTCGTCAGTCGCTACTCTTCCCGCTCCACTGGGGTGATCAGTCATGGGTTGATCCTGGTCATTCTCGCGATCACGAACGGGAGGGTCTCCTGGATGGCTTCTTTTCCGGTCCCGGCGCTGCTTGGCATTCTGGTAGTATCGATTCTCCTTCTCATACTTGTCATTGTACATGTTCGCTAAAGTTTGTAGAAGCTCGCGATTGTTTCTAATGTCCTCGATACTAAGCTTGAAGGATCCACCGGGTTCTCGGCGGAGGTAAGCATGCCTATCGCCGAGAGGTCCTTTCCTGGTAATCTGCCAGCAGTCTTCTTGAACATGGCCAGGCCGTTTGCAGTTGTTGCAGACTGGCTTGTTCAGACACTTGAAACTGATATGGTCTGATGAGTGGCACCACTTGCATTGTCTGGGGTAGTTCGAGTTTACCGCAGGCATTGCCAAGGGTCTTGTTTCTTGAACCGTATTGAGTGCTGGCTCTACCTCTTGCCTAATCTGTTCTGCGCGTTCGATAGCCTTGACACGCTCGATGATTTCCGTCAGGCTGCACTGACGATAACTTACATCTGACCGAATCTTTATTTCGATTTCTCGGTCAATCTTCCGTAACAAGCAATAACAGTAATCTAACGCATGGTATCTCGACTTCTGATTCCAACGACGGCACAACTCCTTGAACCTGGCCTTCAACAGAAGGAAGTCATCTATAATTTTCATGGTATCAGTACCACGGTCTTGAGTCTGTAGCCTTTGACAGACAACATTTATCTCATCGCTGAAAGGGAATAGTACGATAGCGTACCTGTCGATGAATTCTTGATATGGCAGTAACATCAGTCTCTCACGCGCGATACGATCTTGGTTGTTCGGAGTAGACTTGAGAATCACTACTTCCTTCAACTCTGCGGGCAGGTAGAGCATTGACGAAGCGACCCGCTTCCATTTGGTCAACGTCTCGTCGAAGTCTCTTTCGGACTTCGGATTGAACTGCACATCACCACCAATGTCCTTGATAAGATGCCGGACACGTTTCTTGTTCGAGGAGGACGTGTAGGAAGTTAAGAAGGTGTCTTCGCCTTCGGAGAACACATGATCGTCTTCACTGTCAGACTCGCCCGGAGACATGTTAGACTCGAGGACATTGGGGGGGATTACTTGATCGACTAGCTTGGACTGACCACGAGTACCCAGGTCGTCCACCATGATTTGTTTCTGGGCTTCGTGGCTGTCTACTGAAGGAATCGTGGGCTGTGACATATTGAAACTTAGCCGATTGATATCAAATGAAAGTTAAATGCTACTCTGCAGAATGCTAAAAATTCCTATCTTATCGCACCCCAACTCCTTGTTTTATTTGTGTGTGCTGAGGCGTCCTGTCTCAGTCGAATCGTGTGTCCATCGTCGTTGAGTGGGGCGCTCATACGTCACACTTCTCTAAGGAGGCCATGTCTCGCTGCCGGCGCGGACAGTCTTCTTTGAGGAGTCCTTGTCCAGGAAATACGCATATGCACCGTCGAGGATCGAACCCTCGACCTCTCGGTTACTAGTTATCAGTGTTACCATTAGGCTATCATAGTCCTGGAGTACCAGTGACCG